CTTGGGGCACCTGGGTGGTTCAGTTGGTTAGGTGACTGCCTTCTGCTCAGGTCATGATCCCGGAGTCCCAGGATCGAGTCCCGGGCATCAGGAGGATTCCTTGCTCCATGGGGACTCTGCTTCACCCTCTGACCGTCTCTGCTCTCATGCTCTCTCTCACTCTCTCTCTCCCAAATAAATAAATAAAATCATTAAATAAAATAAAAACACACCTTTTGGAGCGCCTGGGTGGCTCAGTCATTTAAACACCTGCCTTTGGCTCGGGGTCCTGGGATGGAGCCCTACATCTGGCTACCTGCTGGTGGGACAGGGGGGTGGGGCGGTGGGGGGAGGGCTCTGCTTCTCCCTTTCCCACCGCTGCTCCCCACTTGCTTGTGATCTCTCCCCACTCTCATTCTCACTCAAATAAATAAATAAATATAAAATCTTTTTAAAAAATTTAAAAAATGCACACCTCTTAGAAATGGGTAGATCGAGGAGATAAAAAGTAATTTAAAATATGATAGAGGATAACGCAGACTGAGTCACTCCACATCTGTTCCCACATGCTAGCGTGCCTTCTTATCTCGCAGCAGATGGAAAGCCAAAAACGATTTCCCAGAGTCCCTTACAGCTAGCGTTCCAAATGTGGATTCCGTTCCGGCCCCGGGTGCCCCTATGCGGGATCTGGAAGGCGGATGAATGTCTTTTCCCTTGGGCGGCTTCTGCTTACAGGCTCAGTGCAGGAGCCGCTGGGGTTCTCTGTGTCCGTGTCTGGCCTCCAGTTTTGTGAATGTTGGGACACAGTGCAGCAATGGCCGTGCTGGGTCCTTGTCTTGGCTGGCTGCCACCAGGCTGTATCTGTAGACAGCTCTGGTGGCGGTGTCCCCAAGCCCAGCTTAGAGTGCACTCTTGTGGCCCTTCCATGACCTGGTAAACACCCAACGCCTTGTGACTGTTTTCTGCCTTCAACACCGGTTTCTACAGTTCCAAGTTACTATGGGTTACTGTCGATTTGAAGAACATGATTTAAAAGCTGAGAGTCTGGCATCAGGATTAAATAGGTAAATTAAAATTGATAAATGCAGGTAAAGCACGTAGATCAGTCTCTGGCTCACAGTAGCATTATATACATTAGTGATCACTGTCTTTCTATCCTCAGTGCCACATGGTACTAATAACACCGCTACTCCCCCTTTCTTTGCCAATGGCAGGAGACTTCCATTATCGAAATGGACCAGAATAACAGTTCCCTGGTCTCAGGAGACCTGATCAAGTCTTTGCCACAATGACTAGAACATTCCATAGGATGGGAAGTCTTTTCACTTAAAAAAATTCTTTCTTTCTTTCTTTTTTTAAGATTTTATTTATTTGTCAGAGAGAGCATAAGCAGGCAGAGTGGCAGGCAGAAGCAGAGAGAGAAGCAGGCTCCCCGATGAGCAAGGAGCCCTATGCAGAACTTGATCCCAGGACCCTGGGATCATGACCTGAGCGAAGGCAGCCGCTTAACTGACTGAGCCACCTAGGCATCCCTAAAAAAATAATTTCTTTTGAGCAGTATTGGATGTCATTAGTGGAATCCAGTCTCAACTCTTACCTCATTTGTGACCCTGACAGCCAGATCGAGACCAACAGCTTTCCATGTGGGTCACAGAACACCTACTTTCTCTCTCTCTCTCTTTTTAATAGCAAACCTTATTTTTGATGAGTTTTAGATTTACAGAAAAAAAATGGAAGATTAGTACAGAGATTTCCCATACATCTGGCCCTCTGTTTCCCTTACTGTTAACATTATCTTGATTTTCAAAGATTTATTTACTTATTTACTTGAGAGAGAGAGAGATCGAGCAAGCATGTGCAAGCAGAGGCAGAGGGAGAGAGAGACTCTCCAGTTGACTCCCTATTGAGTGCGGAGTCCTAGGCAAGGCTGGATGCCAGGCTCGATCTCCCCACCCCGAGATCAGGACCTGAGCGGAAAGCAAGAGTTGGATGGAGCCTTCATCGACCACACTACCCAGGCGCCCTGACGTTATCTTGCTTTTTAAATCCAACATTATGTCACTAAGATACAGCCATGCTGATCTATACAGATCTAGCGCCTTCACTCTGATGGCAGTGGGCTATTCCACCGCCCCCAAAGCGGCTCCTGGCCTCAGGTGGTGCAGGTTTACTGCCTGCGAATTTCACTTCCTTCTCCATGATGTCTATCAGATTCCTAGTTCCGCAGTGAAAATATTTATGTAGCTGTAATGTCATCTGGTTTCAATGTTAAGAATCAATCCACAGGCAAAGTATGGCAGACTGAATCATCTTCCCAGGATGGGATGGACGTGCCACAGAACTTGACAAAGACAAAAGGTGGGAGGCTGGAGGAAGGGCAGCGGGGTGGGGGGTGAGGGTGGGGGGTGGGGGTGAGTGGTGGGAACGGGAGGGAAACAGTTCATTTCACGCAGAGAGTCAAGACACGCAATCTAAGGAAGAAGTGGACAATTTAAGACTATTATTCCGAGGGGTGAGAGTAATCAATAGAAATGATAGTAATATAAATATGAAAGAGAAAAAACTGGGAAGAAAAAGGAGGACAGGTGGTTAATGCAATCACCAGGGCAGGGAGGCTATTCCCACGAATAAGTCAAGTAATAGAGTATGAGACTATTATTAATATTATTAATTAGTAATAGAGTATAAGATCACTTACAGTTATGAAAGAGGCATGAATAGAATACTAAAAGGCATGAATAGAAAACTAAAACAACATGGTGAAAGGAAGAAAGTTTACTCCCAAGAGTCGGAAAGTGAGAGGACGTTTGAGTTTATTTCTAACCTTTCAGTTGGTCTTGGGTATGCATTTTCCTCCATATGAGTAATATTTTTATATTTGAGACAATGAAATTAATACATAATTAGGCAGAAGTGTAATTCTGATTCTCCTTGGGGTTCAGGCACTTTTAGTGACTCCCCCCATGGCTCTGGCACCGTTTATACTGTCAGACAGATTCAAGACCCCTCAACGCTTCTGCCCTCTGTTTCAGGCGCCCACCCACCCCTGCCCAGAAGCCCGAGGGATTGGCACCTCCGCCGGGAAGCCCTCGGGAGGAAGAGCGCGCCCTCTGCCGGTGCCAGGGCGCCAGTACGCCTAGGGTGCCGTCCACGGCGCCTCTTCAGAGGCCCCACCCCTGCCCCTCACCCCCGGGCTCCGCCCCCTCACGTGACCCCAGCTCCCTCCCAGCCTGCGGGTGGTTCGGTGCGGGGAGCTCGGGGGAGCCCAGGTGAGAGCTCCTGGACGGCTTGGGCGGTAGGGGTCTGTCCCGAGCAAGCCTGGGAACCTGGCGGGGTTATCCATCGGAGCAGGATCGGCGTGAGGGGAATTAGCCCCAATCACTACCTGCTCCCCGCCCAGTGGTTAGGAGCTGGGCTTTGGGTGGGGGAGAGAATCGCCTCTTCCTCTCCTGCGTGTCCTTTGGTGAGTCGCTAAAGTCCCTGTATCTCAGTTTCCTACCCTGTGGCTGCCGGCATGAAATGAAATAACGCACATAGTAGTTGCTTAAGAAACAGCACCTGTTACAGTTACATCCCGTTTAAGCAAAAGTGGGACCCCTCAGAGATTAGAATACCTAAGGGTCACTGTAGCTCAACCCTGTTTGGTGGCAGGCCTCCCCTGCTCCCCTGGGACTTACAGTGTGGGGAGGCTTATGTGACTGGCTGTTGTCTCCCTGTGGTCTCTGGGCCTCAGGAGGGGTAGAGCCTCTGTTCAGCCCCTGGCAGGGAGGCTGCCTCCCAGGTGCCCCTGTCCTGGTGTCCTGAATGGTCTGGCAGCCAGACACCAATGTGACGCAGTCTCCCTTCTGTCTCCTCACGGGGGTTGCGTTTTTCTTTTGGCCCCTGTAGGCGGACAGACATGTCTCAGGAGGGGTCCCCAGAGGGCTCCAGCTCAGAGGACCCTGCCCTCAGCCCCCACTGCATTGCTGCACTTTTCCAGGACGATGTGGAAGCCAGCTCCGGGTCAGGCTTGACACCACACTGGCCAGGGGCAAGCTCTGGGGCCCGAGTTTGGGCTGGCAGCAGGAAGAGGGTCCTGAGGGAAGAGACCCATCGAGGTACCCGCTCCCAGGCTGGAGGTGCTCCTGGGGCGGGCCTGGAGGCTGAGGCCCACTCGATGGCCCTGGAGCTACAAGGCAAGGGACCGAGCCAGGAGTTGGTGCCTGGCCCCCAGCTCCTCTCCCAGCCACCCAGAATGTCTGCTCAGGGGAAGGCTCCAGCCTTCAGGAGGCTCCAGGTTTCTCTGCATGACATCTTCAATGAAAGTTGGCCCAGGAACCCTTGTCCCATGTGTTTGGGTTTTCCAGAGAGAGCTTTGGTTGGTAGGGAGAGGCTGGGAGGGGTGGGGAGGAGGAGCTGCCCCGGGCCAGGAGAAGCGGGAGGAGGTTGGAGTGATGAAGGGGGCTCTACCTTCAGTAAAGAGCGGCCTCCCAAAAGGAGGCTACCATCCTCCCCAGGCCCAGCCCCTATGGGGGCAAGAAAGAACAGCAGGAAGTATGAGGCCTGCTCAGAGGGTGGGGAGGGGGCAGGAGGCTTCTTGTGGTCTGGTCAGAGCCCTGGTGGGGACAACCCCCCATGTGAGGGAGACCCCCCACCAGGGGCTGATGTGGGGTCCTTGGGAGACCTTTGTGGTCCTGTCTCTCCCTACGACACTGGGCCTGGGTCAGGAGATCCAGGTGGAACTTGTGTGGGATGTGTCTCAGGGACTTCGAAGTTTGAATATTTGCCTGCTGCAGAGAACGGGGCCCAGCCAGGCAGCCCCTCTGACCCTGTAGGGGTCCTACCACCTGATGGAGGGGAATCCCTCAGGCCAGCTGTCTGGGATCCCAGCTCTGCACTAGGCCTTGGAGCATCTGGAAAGGCCGCCACAGTGTGGCGAGAAGCTGAGCACCTAGTCGGGGCTGGCTGTGATGATGGCCCTGCTGTCTCACACAGTCAGGAGGAGCTAGAGGTCAAGGCTCAGCCAGAGTCCAGGGGGAGGCTGGGAGAAGAACCCCCTGCTCCCACTGACAGCCCCTCCAGCTCCTTGCAGCCTACAACCAGCAGGGCTCACTCGGGCCCATCCATGGGACAGAGAAGATCCAAGTATGCTAAGAAGTCGAGGAGAGGCCCAGTGTCCAGCGCCCAGCACCAGGGCGCAGACAGGAGTGCGGATGACTTCAGCGAGGACCAGCCAGACAAATCCCACCCAGGAAGCTTCCCCAAACCGGTAAGTGGAGTCTGAGAAGTTGGGGTAGGGAGGACTTGGCCAGTCTTAACGCCATGCTTGGCAGTGGAGTTTAATAGAGGTACGCTAGAGAGCATTTGAGTGGGCATTGTTCTTCACACCCATTTTATGCTGAGTAAACTGAGGCCCACCATGTCAAGAACGAGAAAATGAACTTCATTTGCTGATATCTTATGAGGGTTCGTTATCTTTTGGAGTTGGTGAGTTCTGGGTTCAAATCTTGCCTCTGTCCACTTCCTAGCTGAGTGACTCTGGAATATTTTTTTAAACTAAGTTCCTCATCTGTAAAAAGGGGATAACTCATTCCAATTGAGTGGGGGTTGTTTTAAGGATTGAGATGATGGTGTAAAGTAAGGTGCCTAGCACCGCCTAAGGAGCAAAGTAAATCACTTCATTTATGTTAATTTTGTGTTTCCTTTAGAGTCAACAATAGCACGTTATCCCCATGTTTCCAGATGGGAAAACTGAGGCTCAGGGAAGTTAACATACACTCCCAAGCTCACACAGCGAGAGTCAATGCCCAGCCATATTCCCTGTATTTACTACTTCTCTCTCCATTGTCCTTTAATTAAATTATTATTTTATTAATAATAGGTAACATGTTGTTTTAAAAGATTTTATTTTAGGGGCGCCTGGATGGCTCAGTGGGTTAAAGCCTCTGCCTCGAGCCCCGCAACGGGCTCTCTGCTCAGTGGGGAGCCTGCTTCCTCCTCTCTCTCTGCCTGCCTCTCTGCCTACTTGTGATCTCTGTCAAATAAATAAATAAATAAAAATCTTTAAAAAATAGGGCGCCTGGGTGGCTCAGGGGGTTGAGCCGCTGCCTTCGGCTCGGGTCATGATCTCAGGGTCCTGGGATCGAGTCCCACATCGGGCTCTCTGCTCAGCGGGGAGCCTGCTTCCCTTCCTCTCTCTCTGCCTGCCTCTCTGCCTACTTGTGATCTATGTCAAATAAATAAATAAATAAATATCTTTAAAAAATAAAATAAAATAAACAAATAAAAGATTTTATTTTATTTGTTTATTTTAGGGAGACAGAGAGAGAGAGAGTGCATGATCACGAGCAAGGGTAGGGGCAGAGGGAGAGGGAGAGAAAGAATCCCAGATAGACTGCGCTACAGAGCCTGATGTGGGGTTCGATCTCACGACCCTAAGATCATGACCTGAGTGGGAGCCAAGTCAGATACTATTTATTTATTTATTTGACAGGCAGAGATCACAAGTAGGCAGAGAGGCAGGCAGACAGAGAGAGGTGGCACCTGCCGAGCAGAGAGCCCGATGCGGGGCTCTATCCCAGGACCCTGGGATCATGACCTGAGCCAAAGGCAGAGGCTTAACCCACTGAGCCACCCAGGCGCCCCATCCAAGTCAGATGCTTAATGGACTGTGCCACCCAGGCACCCCAGTAGCTCATGTGTTTATATCCAAGGCAGAAGGTGGCGCCTTCTCACATAGTGGAATTTTTACCACATTCCTCGAATATGTATTCTGTGCTAGGCAGTTTTGATTGAATATTCACATGAAGCCCAGAGAGGTAAGGTGACTGGCCCAAGATCACACATCTGGTAAATGACAGAACCGGTGCATAAATGCTAACAGACCGTCCTGAAAGCACACCTCACTGTCTGCCTGTGCCCCTTCCCTGTTGGCATCACACTAGTGAGAGGATCTAGTCTGCTTACCGTGTGCTGGGTACTATACTAAGCGCTTTATCTTCCTAACAACCTGACGAGGTAGAGGCTATTGATATATACCCATTTTACTGATGTAGACACTGAGGCCCAGAGAGGTAAGAAGACGAGTTCAAGGCCAAAGAGCAAATTTGTAGAACAGGGATGGGAACAAGTGAGTTGCTCTGTGATGTACCACAATTTGGTATTACAATTGCATGAGAATGCTATTACATTGCTTTTGTAAACATCACTAAAAACAATTATTTTTAAAAATTTTATTTATTTATTTGACACAGAGAGAGAGAGAGACAGCAAGAGAGGGAACACAAGCAAGGGGAGTGGGAGAGGGAGAAGCAGGCTTCCCTCTGAGCAGAGACCCCAATGGGAGGGCTTGATCCCAGGACTCTGGGATCATGACCTGAGCCAAAGGCAGACATCTAACTACTGAGCCACCCAGGTGCCCCTCAAAAACAATTTTTAATAAAAGATACTAGTATGTGTTTGTGATAGAAAATTAGAAATTTTAAAAACTCCAAATGCTAATTTTTTGGTATGTCTTTCCTCTCATTTCTTTCCTGTACATACATATCTTTTCTTCACCTAGATTAGGACTGTGTGTGTCAGATGTATGACTTGGCTTTTTTGACTGGCTCAGTTGGTGTATATATAGAGAGAGCATGTGAGCGTCGGGGAGAGGGACAGAGGGAGGAGGAAAGAGAGAACCCTAAGCAGTGCAGAGCCTGACATAGATTTCGATCCTATGACCCTGAGATCATGACCTGAGCCAAAAATCAAGGGTCAGACAGTCAGACGCTTAACCGACTGAGCGGCCCAGGTGCCCGGGGCACATGGCTCTTGATCTTGGGGTCGTGAGTTCAAGCCCCATGTTGGGCATAGAGTTTACTTAAAAAAATTTTTTTTCACCATTGATTTGTGAACACAGAAAGAGGAAGTCCTTTTAAATTCTTCCAGACCCCACTGCCTTTGTCTGGAGATAATCGGTGTTCGCGCTTGGAATCCCTCCAGCCCCCTTGTTGTGAACATCTACACCTCTGCAGCACCCATATTTAAATAAGCTCATTCTACGCTTCATCGTTCTGGGATCTGTACTTTGTTTATTTCTCAAGCATTATAGCATTTGGAGATCTTTCCAAGTTGGTACACATTGTTCTGCCGAATTTGTGCCTTTCCGGAGCCCTGGCTCGCAGTGGGCTGCAGACATATTTGTCACGGCCACGGGTGCTGCCGGGACCAGAGGATGGGCTGGGACTTCCTTTTCTCATTTCCGACCACCGTCGTGTAGTTGAGCGTACGAAGCCTGGAGACGGCCAGCCTGGCATTCTGTCCTGGCTTTGCCTCTATCTGAATGACCTGGGCAGGCGGCTTCACCTTTCTGAGCATCATTTCCTCACCTGCAAACTGGAGGGGTGTGGGGGGGAGCACTTATCCGACAGCGGGGTGGTGAGGAGCAAATGAGATGACACATGCTTGGTGTTTAGCACAGTGCCTTGTACAAGATAAACACTCAAAAGTGTTACCTGTTATTGACATGTACGTTTGTGTGCTGCTCTGAGTATTGCTGCAGAGAACCTTGCTGTTCCTCTGGTTTCTCCTCATTTCTGATGATTTATTTGGGCCGGCACTGGGACTTGGGGGCCTGCAGCGGTTTGAGGGGCTTGTGGGAGTGTGGTGGTGGCTCCAGGTGTCCACCTGCCTTGACTGAAGGAGCCCACAGCTGCTCCCTCCTCCAGGGCCCATCCTTGACTCAGCAGCCAGTGCAGCTTCTGAAACCACCCGTTGCTATGGCAACGGGTGCCAGCTGCAGGAGAAGAACTGAGCCAGGGCTGCAACAGGGACAGACAGGTGGTCGAGGCCGGTGCTGAGTGGGGCGTGGGCATAGGGTCCAGCCGGTCTGGTCCCCTTTCAGGGCGATAGCACCTTCTCCTGGAGGCAGCCTGGCTTGTGCCAGGGGCAGACCGGTTGTTCAAGGTTAGTCTCTGCTTCTTACTGCAGGGTAGCTTTGGATGAGGGATGTCTCTGCCCTGAACCGTAGTTGCCTCCTCTATGAAATGGCCATCCAGTATGAGAGGTTGGTTGTGTTGTGTTCTTCTGGTGTGAGATACAGACCTTTGGATGACACAGCGGGGGAAATGGCATTTTCTTCTCTGTCCAGAGCCCCGCCGTGGCCAGTGAGGCCTGGCGCTACTTTGAGGGTGGAGCAGCAGGTGGTGTGGGGAGGGCAGCTCGGCCCCAGCCCCCTGCTCTGCTCACCACAACCGGGGAGGCATGGAGCTCCTTTGGCCCCATCTGGGGGCCCTCTGTCTGCTGCTGGGAAGTGTCAGGAGCTGTGTGAGAAGAGCATGTCCTTCTAGCAGATGGGTAGCCTAAGAACAGCGCTTTTTATTGAGCGCTTACTGTATACCAGCAGCTTCACATAGGGTCATCATCTCATAATCAACCCTCACAACAACATTAAAAGTTGGTGTTAATACTCAGTACTCCCATTTGGGATTCAGAGAAGTTAAGTGACTCAGTCAAGGTCTCACAGCAATTAAACAGTAGAGCTGGTATTTTTGTTGTTGTTGTTAAAGATTTTATTTATTTATTTAGAGACCATGCGAGTGGGGGGTGGGGCAGGAGGGATGGAGGGAGGGGGAGAGAGAATCTCAAGCCGACTCTGTGCTGAGCACAGAACTTGACACAGGGCTCTATTTCACCACCATGAGGTAGTGACCTGAGCCGAAATCAAGAATCAGACACTTAACTGACTGAGCCACCCAGACGCCCCTGGGGCCAGTATTTGAATCCAGGCCTGGAGGCTTCCAGAGTCTGTGCTCTGAGCTAGGCTGCCAAAGTCCTGGCTAAGGGGTTTGGATTTTTATGGGACTTTATTGTAATTTGTTCAACAAGGAGGGGGACCCCTACAGGGAACTCATGGTCCAGTGGGAGGAGGTAAACAAGTAACCAGAGGTATGAACTGAGGCCCAGCAGACCTTAGATTACCCAGAGGGCAATTGAGTCTACCTGTGGTAAGGGTGGGTAGGAGGGGTTAAGGTAAGGTAGGGCAGAGATGGGGGCTGTCTGAGTTGGGTCTGGGCAAAGGAAGTAGGTGTTCAGCAGGTGGAGAAGGTAGGGAAAGACATATCAGGAGGAGAGCAGAGGACCAGGGGCAGGAGGCAGCTTGGAGTGTTACAGGAGTGGAACAGGAGGCAGGATGGGGTCTGGAGGGGGAGGAGTGAGGTGGGAGAGATCAGCAAGGACAAAGTTGCTTGAATGCAAGGGGAGAGACTGCAGTGTGGTCAGGTGTCAGGG